TCTATCAATTATATTCATTTAACTGACCCTGACTAATACGTTGGCTTTACGAATTTGATGTTTCTTTTCTAACTTTCATGGCTATTCTTCTTATGAGATCTGTCCTTTCTGAGCTCTAGTGATCAGGGCTTTCTTCATCATCTATGTTCAGGTTTCCACCAAGTATATCCTACAATGTGGTCTTGGGTGTCAAGGACACCTGCTTTACTTAGTCTTTCTCTTGGAATTTCCTTATCTCCAAGATAACTTGGCTGGGTATCGTAATCTTGTCAGCTGTCTATTCTCAGAGCTCAAAATCAATCATTCTCTGTGTCCTTGACTTTCCGGTGTCTGTGGAGATAACAATGTAATTCTAGTGAGTTTGCTTTTATTAGCTTGCTGCTTCTCCTTGCAGCTTTCACTGTTAACAGCACTAAGACAGAATTTGAACTATGTGACATGGAGAGTTCCTTTCTTCCGTCTATTTGAGTTTTAAATGCCTCCAAGTATCCATCTTCTCCTAGATTTGAGGGATTTTGTTATTCTACAGAACATGTTTTTCCTCTATACCAGACTCACATTTGGTCTCTCAGCACATTCCAGGTCTTGAAAGTCACAGTTATGATTGATAGTTTTCCTTTACTGCTATCAGATTCCTCAACCTTGTCTTCAATCCTTTGTACTTGATCCACTGATGTGCTTTGGTTTAGTTTTTTGAGACAGGGTGTCTCTGGGTAACATCTCTGGCTGTCCTGGATCTCACGCTGAAGACCAGGCTGGCCTCAAACTTAAGAGATCTGCCTGCCTCTGCCTGGGCTCACTGGGTTCACTGCTATAGAGACCAGAGAAATCTCAATCTGCAACAAAATCGTGTGACAATCTCTCTAGCAGGGTAAGTAACGTTTAGTGGGTTTTGAAAGTACAAAAGAGTGCCAGGTACAACTCCAGGAACACGAACCGCCAAGGCCATGGGTGGGTTAGGACTTCTGTTGGTCTTTTCTGTGTTGAACACACAGATTGCAAGCCCAGCGCCACTTTGAGATCTTTGGCAGCAGTTAACTCTGCAGCTTACATGATTGAGCCTGTATGATAGTGAGTATTCAGAGACAGGTAATGCCTGGGGGGCGCTCATCAACCTAAGACAGAGCGATTGTGTGGCCTGGGCAGGCGTCTCCATGATGGCTAAGGTGACCTGCTGACATCCCACACAACCTAAGTCAGAAGCTCATTTATTAGTAAAAGGGGGACCTATAGGGCCCTGGCCCCCGATTTGGGTAACTGTTGCCTTGCTTGCTGACCTTGACCTTGATATTCTCCCTATGCTAATTCCCTCCTGGGTTTCACTCTCCTGTCTGTGTATCCTGCATAATGGGTGTTAACAGCTTAGATGCAAGATTGTAAAATGTGGTAGCGAACTTCTGCCCTCCGGGGTTCTCCCATTGTGCTGTAAGCCTGTATTTAAGACCCCCTCCCTCCTTCAATAAATGGCATTCGGCATTAAAAAAAAAAAAGAGTGCTGGGATTAAAGGTGTTTGCCACCACTGCCCGGTGTTTTAAAACTTGATTTACTGAGCCTTTCATTTGTATGATTTATCCCCTCCCAAACCCTTAAAGCCTCTCATAAATCTCTCATCCACATCTCTACATGTCTTATCCACTGACTTGTTTCCTCTTTGAGATCATTAATCAGCTTTTAAAATTAGGTTGCATTCTTGTCTGGCATTTCAATCATTCAATATTTAGATTTAGAATTTGAACTCACAAACTTTTGGATCATTTCGCTTTTCTTTGCTCCCCTTTACAAATTTGGTTTCCTTGTTATTTGTGCAAATGTTGGTTTGGGTATCTTTTTGACTAAAGCTTTCATGTGACTAAGCACTTTTTTTTCATACATCTATACAATGTACTGATTGTACTCATACACACCCACTGCTTTCTGGTAATACCCTCCCTTTCTTTTTGAATCCCTTCCTCCCACCTAGTTCCTTTAGTACACCATTAAAGGAAGTAACATCCCTTCCTGCAATCATTATGCCACTATTTCCCCAGGAACGGGTAGGGACTTATGGATACTCTTTCCGTGGTGAAAACTGAGTCCAATCTCTTTTATATAGTTGTAGGTCTCTTATATGGTCATTCATGCATCCTTTGCTTTTATCAATGCTCGAGTACTAACAATGATACCTACAGTAAGGACACTAAAATAGCTCAAGTATTTTTCGGATAAATTAGGAACTTAAAAAAAATAGAGAACAGGAAGAGGGAAAGTGAGGGGAAGTATATAGGATGAAAAATAGTGGAGAATAAGAAATACACAAATCAGTAAAGAAACAGTATTTCTTCCTTGCCGAGATGGACAGATATGTTTCTTGTTTACTTGTTCAGGGGACAGAGAGAAAAGCAATCATTTTTTTTTGGCTGGATTCAAACTAATTAGAAAAGGGCTATTTGGAGTGGTCCTGCCTTTTCTGTTTTTGAGACTGGGTTTCTCTGTGTAGCCTTGGCTGTCCTGGAACTCACTCTGTAGACCAGGTTGGCCTCCAACTCAGAGACCTGCCTGCCTCTGCCTCCAGAAACATGATGGGGTCCTTAAGGGGAGGTGAGGCTCCATGTAAAGCTGGGAGAGCAGTTTCATGGATAGGGATGGTGAGGGAGGCATGTACTACCCTGGCCTGGCTGGTCCTGCACATCAGCCACAATCACAGCTCTTCACTGCTTCTGATATGCAAATTAGTATAGAACTCCCTTAAGCTGCTCCCACCAGCTGAGCCCACAGATCAAGTTGGGTGACCCTTTATAGAGAAGCATTCTGGCATCACCCATGTGGTTTGAAGAAATGTTAGCGAAATGGCTGTGCTTCTCACTGGTCATCTCTGGGGTATATGTGGAAAGCAGTCCAGACTGTGCTAGGACTGCAGAGACAGCACTGGCTGATGGCCTACTCCATCTGTCTCAGCCCACCTCTGACATTCACTCAGCTGGTCTTGGCCCACTTCTGAGGTTGGGCTGCAATTCCCAAATGGATGTTGCTTCTGCAGTACAAGCATATACATCTTCCATGACTTGTGACCAGATCTGCTTCCAAGCTCGAAGTTGGTGCAGCTGACTGATGTTCAGGAAGGCCACTCTCTTTAGTTGGGGTTAGATTAGGGTGAGACTTTGGAGTCTACTGGTAAAAAAATGCTGAGGCTTCTGTCTGCTCTACTCCCTCCAGTAAAAGGTCTGTTAAATACAATGGGCAACAGCACCAGTCTGCCCCCAAAGGGAAGTTGACACATAACTAGGTGAAAACCAAACAAACACTAAAGATCGGGAAATTGTAGTTACAAAAGTAGTTCTCAACCTTCCTAATGCCATGATCCTTTAAAGGCTGTTGTGGTGAACCCCAACCATAAAATGATTTGTTGCTATTTTATAACTACTTTTGCTACTTTTACCAACTGTATTGTAAATATGTCTTAGACAACCCCATGAAAGGGTTGTTCAACCCAAAGGGGTTAAGACCCCACAGGTTGAGAACCAGTGACTTACACAAATGTTGACATTTTCCATTGCAGATCTAGGCCAAAGTATCAGTGGTGTTTTACGGAACTGAGTAGCACATACTGGTGTGTAGACACAATGCAAGCTTTATGGAGATTAAACTTAGGGTTGGAATGGAATACACGAAGTAGCGGTGACAGAAGTGACTTAATAAGAAGGCAAATATGTGATGTAGTGACTATAGCTCTTTGTCAGGGTTTCTAACCCTCTCATAGAAAACTACAGACCTGAAAGCTCAGCCAATGTCCGAGTATTTTAAGTGTGTAGGAACCACAATCTATCAATGACCCAGTGACTGGCTCTGCTAAAGCTCTGTCTAGAAGCTATGTGTCAAACATACAGGAATAAACAAAATCTTCCAGAGCTTTGTCAAGTCAGGAAATAATACTAATGACTGTGAATGTGCTAAAAAAAAAAAAAAAAAGTACCGAGAAACATGCAAATATTCAGGTCTACTTTTGGTCCTTCCACTTCTATCCAAGAATGGTAAAATATTTTCTGTTTGGCATTTTAAACCATCAAGATCAATCTTAGAGTTCTCCTCATCTGACTCTCTAATTATAGGTTGTTTTTATTTTCCCCGGAGACAGGGCTTCTATGGTTCCTCTCTCCCCCTCCCTGCACAGGGTCTCACAGCCCAGGCTGGGCTTCAAACTTGCTACCTAGATGAGAATGACCTTTAACGCCTGGTCCTTCTCTTGATTCATCTCCCAAAGTCTTGATTATCCTGAGAACATGGGCCATAATTATTACCCTCCACAACAATACTGACTTTGACTGAATAAGCTTCAAAATTCTTGAAATTCATCCAAAATTTGGATGACAATATTTTTCCCCCTAGAGTGTAAATGTATTCTTGGTTATGGTCTCTGGTACATTCATAAGCCTTGTTTCAGATTTTGGAATGGATTAGAAGCTGCACGATTCATTATTTAGAGAATACTTTATTAGTTTTTGTAATCAAACCCACGTAGATAAGACCTTACATATTTAATACAGTGCGTTACCCCTGTACAAATGGAAAAAAAATTAAGTTCAACATTTCTAGACCAATATGGCTGTTAATTTCTGTACAATGCCAACTCAACACGGTAAACTGGGATACTTTTTTCCAAAGTTGACAGCACAGCTAGTTTCCAAAAATTCAAATTATATATATGTA